TACTGAAGAACACATGGAAGCCGTGTATCATATTCTTAGATATCTTAAAGGAACTCCAAGACTTGGATTATTTTTTGGAAAGGATGATGACAGAAAGATTAAGGTGTTTACAGATGCTAATTGGACAGGTTCTGTTCAAGATAGGAGATCTACGACAGAATATTGTACCTTCGTATGGGATAATCTTGTTACATGGAGGAGTAAGAAACAATCAGTTGTTGCAAGAAGTAGTGCTGAGGTTGAATTCAGGGCATTATCTCATGATATTTGTGAGATAATGTGGCTGAAACTCCTTCTCCAAGAACTCAAGATCAGGTTTGATAGTTCAATGGAAGTCTATTGTGACAACAAGGCTGCAATTGCTATTGCACACAATCCAGTGCATCATGATCGTACTAAACATGTTGAGGTTGACAGACATTTTATCAAGGAGAAGATTGAAGAGAAAATTGTAAATCTGATGTATGTTCCATCATCAGATCAAGCTGCAGATATCCTAACAAAAGGACTCTTGAGACCCATATTTGAAAGGTTGTTGATCAAGCTGAAACTGTTCAATCTGTATAGTCCAGCTTRAGGGGGAGTGTTGAATTAGTTAGAAGTTAAGATTATGTGGACTTAGTTAGAAGTTGTTTAGATTTTGTGTTTAAATTTAGCAAATAGATCTCCTTTTTTGTTAGGGAAGTTAGGAGGTTATTCCTAGATTTTGTTTCCTCTTGTAACCTATAAATAGTGCCTCTATTCCTCATCTTTGATGAATCAATTTGAAAATTTATTTCTTCTCTCTTTTCTCGTGTATGTCTCTCTGGTGTCTCTATCCTTAATTTTTAAATAATATATATTGACACATCATTTAAAAATTGCCAACTTAGCAATGCCATGTCCCTTTTCCGTTAGTCAACTAATGGTCAACTTTACTCAAGGACCATTTAGAACTATTTCCTAAAGGTTGGGGATCGAACTATTGGTTTTTGAAACTTAGGGAGCAAATAGAAACCTATCCTCAAACTTAGGGATCAAAAGTGTTTTACCCTATTAAGGAATGTATCTGTACTTGGTGAGATTGAGAATCATATAAATCCATTTTTTGCAAAGCATTGAAAATGTGATGGATGGGAGACTGTTATTCTTTACTAGATCACCACGCAATGAACATATAAATGCTATTAGGTTGTTGGAAAAATCTCGGAGTGTGATAGTATTGGTGTGAAATAAGAACTTCCTTAGTGCCTGAGAATCATAGAGAAGAAATAGTACATAGTTCCATATGTCTTAAAAACTACGTTTCTTATTATCTAGTATTCTTATCCTAATCCTTTCAACCAGATCTTTGTATGGAAAACTCCAACTCTTATATAAAAAGAGAGAGAAATCTAACGATCATAATGCAGGGAAATGAATTTGATATTAATTATGAGATATTTTATTGCAGCGAAGCATTGAAGACAAACTTGCAAACTTGAGCCAAGAGAAAGAAATTATAAATGAAGAAATTAAACGAATAACTCCGGAACTTGATGAGGTAATATTATGACCACATGTCAACCTATTTTGTTTTTCTTTACACACAGTTATTCTGCAATTCAAATTGTAATGATATATTATTTCTATTGTAGTTAAAAAAGGGGATTGATAAGAGGAATGCAGAAAATAGGAAATTGGAGAGGAGGATCAATGAAATTGTTGACCGGATATATCGAGACTTCAGCAGATCTGTTGGGGTGGCAAACATACGAGAATATGAAGAAAACCAACTCCAAGCCGTGCAGCATATGGCTGATGAACGTGTTAGCTTGAGCAGTCAGCTTTCAAAATTGAAAGGCCAGTAGGTTCCCCTCTTTTTTGCTCTTGTCCTACCATACGTAGTGTACTTGTGGTTCCATGTTAAAGAAAATAAAACACACTTATTGAATCTATCTTATGTCTGAACTATGCCTATATATGCACAATGTTCTTGTTCCTCGTACATCATGAGCGGGATTATGGACATGGGTCTCATATCTTAGGTGCAAAGTTGTTCTAGGGAAAAAGAACTAAAATACCAAAAATTACTAACAAAGACCACTCCCCAAAAACTAACTTCCTCGAATGATTACTACATCACCTTCCTTTCTTTCATTTCTCTTGGTGAAAATGAAAGTTGGTACCAAGAGTCTCCGTGCAGTTTGAGGAGTAGTGTGAAACATATATATTTTTTTCCATTAGCTTAGGTGGTGATTTGTGGTGTTTGGTCCTTCCTATACAATTATGTTTTCTTGATGCTATGGCAACTACTTAGACTTTTAGGTTAGTTATCTCATTACCTGAATTATCTTAATTCAACTCTACTTGCTTCTCTCTGAACCATGAAAAATACTTGACAAAATTGATTCTGACGAGAAAACTTCTTGAGGATCACATAACTTATGTGCTGTAATCTCCTTAGGAAAAATAGGGTGTTGTACTTGTCAATATATTTACTTCACGAGAATACCTTGAATCAAGTAAAGCTATTTTTGTATATTTGATCGAGTAGTATAATGGGTTAACCGAGGAAACCTTACACTTGTTGAAATATCTCCTTTCTCTCTGCTTAACTTTGGAAACAAGTATTACAATTTTGTCCTGATAAGTTTATAATAGCGGATTGAGCTCTGGGAGAATTTTTCCTCTTCCACTTTTACTGGAACTGGAACCTTTGTTGAATTCATTATTCTCTGTTTTGTGCAAGTGGAGGCATACCAAAAGATTTCCTTTTAACCTTCTGTTGAAACTTTATGCTGACGAATGATATCTTTTTAACTAAAGCTCATATTATACTCTTGTATATATATGAATAGTTCGTTAACTTCCAGTTTTAATCACTGATCTATGCTAATAGAACAGGTTCCTGTTTGTCCTATGTAACTTAGGTTGGAGTATGAACAGAATCGGGACATGGAGTCCCAAATTAAAGATTTGGAATCTTCTTTGAGTTCCTTGGAGCACGATTTAAGAAGGATTCAAAACAAGGATGCTGAAGCCAAATCAACCGCAGAAAATGCCAGTAATGATATTGATCGCTTGAAGGAGGAACTTGGTGGTAAGGTCTTGTTGCACTATTTTTTTTTTTGATAAAAATATTAAGCCCTTTACAAAACAGACCTAATTTTTTAAAAAAATTGAGCTTGTTATGCAGAATATTCCTACTATATCAAATTTTCTCTTGTTAAATTCCGGAATAGTACAATTCTTGCATATATTTTAAGAGGTCTAATTTCTATTTGTTCCTTTTTTCCTTTCTTAGTACGGTTCCTCCACAGAATTCATTTTTTTCTTTCTATTGAAGGAAAAGAAAGTAGAGGATCCAAGAGGCATTTTTTTTGTTTGGACATTTGAGCAGGTGCTCCACCTGCCTTAGTTGGCATTGAAACTTTCAATCACTTTTCTGACTTGGAGCATCAAGATATGATGCTTTTGGTTCAACATCAAAGTTGTAGGAGTACTGAGCTGGCAATATTTTTGTGACGGTTTTTTAATTAAATAATATATTGATTTTACAATTTAGTTGTCCATTTATACTGGTATTTGGTAAGAAACTTGAATTTGATTCTAGGTTGTGAAGAAGTCTAATGCTCATATAAGGCTGTTCTTTTAATATCTTATCAACTGACACTTTTATAGTCAACTTTTTTGAAAACTTTCAAGCTACTGGGCCTTTTTTGTGCGAAGAGCTTCATTGGAAAAGTATAAATTAAAGGAAAGAAGGTGCTAAAAGGGATGTAACTTGAGCATGTTTTTGTTCTTTTCCAATGGGATTTGATTTTTTTGCCTGACTTCTATTGCATACAGGCGAATAACATATGTAATGATCCAACATTCAACCTATTCTATGCCTTACAAGTAGAAAACTCTAGATATTTCTAAGCTTTATGAACTCGAAGACTAAGATGTCCCTTTCAGCTACTACTAACACACAAATGTTGCTAGAACGAATTTGTATGTTTTCCAACGGATCCAGACAAGAGTCTTAGTTTCTCAGATACCCGTGCTAGGAGATGTAGGATATTCTCCAAAGTCAGACATCCCAATTGAGGACGATTTCTATTCCTATTATGTTTAGGAATTATTTTGTTATAAATAGGTTATTAGGTTTGTATCAAGTTATTAATTTTTTCAAGGAAATCATATTTGTCATTCTTCCTATTTTCTTTTTCTCTCCTCCCTAAAAGTCAATACAAACCATAGTTATGAAAGAGTTGGCAATTATGTGTTACTGGTCAAGAAGGACCGTAGCTGGCAGTTATGTGTTGATTATCGCGCTTTGAACCAGGTGACTGTTATCGACCAGTTCCCTATTCTAGCTGTGGAAGAGCTCTTAGACTTTGGGGCTAAGATTGACTTGAAGTTGGGGTACCATCAAATTCATGTCCATCCGAATGACATTCATAAAGCGGCCTTCTAGACTCATGATGGCCACTATGAGTTTCTCGTTATGCCCTTTGGATTGCGCAATGCCCCTACCACATTCCAATCTGCAATGGTTTCTATTGTTACTGTGGGCCCAAGTTAGTTACAGGGCAAGATGGTAATTAGTAGGTAGATATATATTGTTGTCAAGATGGTAATTAGTAGGTAGATATATGTTGTCGTGTGGAGGGTGGGGGTATCTTTTTGGTAGTCTGTATTTTCCTCGTTTGTTGGAATAGCTAGGAGAGGCCAGGGAGCTCTCAAATCTCCCTCAACCCTGTAAATTCCATTTGTTACATAAATAATAAAAACAATTTCTATCAAAATGGTACGTTTTCAGTTTTTGACTTGAGCTTTTAGGGAACCTCAGACGGAACCTTTCCACATGTTGCTCTGCACCAACAGGGTGGATTTCTTAAACATGGTTTATTGTTCCTCTAGTTAAGAACTCTACTCTAATTTTTGTCGCAACACAAGTAAATTCTCTAGAGCGAGTTTGAAATGACTTCAGGAGTAGTGATTTTATGAAAAAGCACTTCTTTTATAATCACTTTTGGAAAGAAGCACTAATTAAATGCTTTTTCTACCAGCACTTTAAAGTACTTTTAACTAGTTAAAAACACTTTTCACGCTTTTAATAGTTATTCCAAACTCAATCTTTAGATCCCTTATACAAGGTATTCAAAAGAGTGATTGATTTTTCTCTCTTATGATGTGAGTAAGAGATCTCCTTTTGATTCTTTCTTAATCTTTTTCCCTTGATATGGTTATATGTTTTTTGTCAAGCACCTGCCTGCCTTTTTTTGCTTCCAAGAATTTTCTTTTAACCCCGAAAAATATGAAAGAGGACGAGCAAGATTACATTTCACTTTGTCATCACTTTAGTGATGATTTTAAGATGATCTATAGCCAGTGAAACAAATTATTTCATCCAGAAAAATTTGGAGATTTATATTAGTTATTGAATCAAGCTTGATTGGATGGCTCCCTTCGAAGTTCTATTATTCTGGAAATAGGGGTGAGTTTCAGATCCAGTGTGAGTTTTTTTAGGTTAAATAATTTGATAATGGTATGTGGCTCTGTGCCTAATTTTCATATTTTCTTTAACCTCAACATGGATAGACAACTCACTGAGAAGGAAATGGATATGAAGCTGTTAAATTATAGTTTATTTTATTTTAAAGGTTTCGTATTTTATTTAGATTAGGGTTTTATTGTTCTAATAGGTAAGTATTTCCTTATCCTAATAGGCAAGAATTTCTTTTTAGTTTCTTCTTTGTGACTGCTATTTATATAGCCTTGTATCAATCATTTGGGTAATCAAGTAAGAATTATTTTCTTTTCTTATCAATTAACAGAAGCTCATATTTTATTTATTACATTCCACCTCATTTCGTATATAGTGAAACTCCCAATATTTCTCCTTTGTTATTAATTTCAGTTTTTAGTTATTATCAAATGGTTAAAAGGTTAAGTATATATGAAGGCCTAATATGTAGACATTTTTAAAGCTCCTAAATTAAGTAATTCATCATCTTTGTACTTTGCAGAGTGGAAATCCAGGTTGGAAGAATGTGAGAAGGATATGCAGGAATGGAAGAAGAAAATATCTGCTGCTACAACTAGCATATCGAAACTTAATCGTCAGATTAATTCTAAGGTTTCTGTTAGGCTGGCTTTTGTTTTGATATTTATATATATAATATATATATATACATATATATGTATATATATATGTATGTGTATATATATTTTTTGATGAAGAACCATACTTTCATAGAGAAAATGGAAGGATATACAATGAGAAATGCCAAAATGAGCCCAGAATAAAGGGAACCATCTGGCTCCAACTATTAAGAATCAGAAGTAAAGGATAACAAAACTCTTTGGTCATGCCAGCTGAAAAGGAGAGGTATTGAACGTTGTTATGAACGAAACTCCCCCAACACCATTGAAGTACTCCATGAGGAAGCAAAGCTGCAATTCCATAACAAATGATCCAAACTCTCTAAGATACTTTTTTTTATACAAAACACACTATTGTATTATTTAAAATAGGTGATAGTTTCTTCAACCACTTGACGTATCGCATGTGCATCACTTTTTCTACATTGTTTTATATGAAAATATCATAAGTTAATGAATTTTTAACTTAAAATCATTGAAATGTTTTAAATAATTATTTGTATATATTAGAAAATGTATATTTGAATAAAATTTTCCATGTTCTCATATTCATAGAATAAGATATTGCATTCTTACTGTACCCATATCCTAGTTTTTAGAAAACGACCTGTCACCATGTCTGTATTGCATCTGTTGTGCTTTTTTGCTCTTAATTCTTTTTACGGAGTATATATTTTTAGTATACCATGATGGATATCCACCATATTTTTCTTCCAGGAGACAAACATTGAACAGCTGATCACCCAGAAGCAGGAAATAGTAGAAAAATGTGAATTAGAACAAATAGAGCTCCCAATTATCTCAGATCCCATGGAGACTGAATCCTTGACCCCTGGTCCAGTTTTTGATTTTAGCCAGCTGAATAGATCCTATCAACAGGATAGGAGATCATCTGATAGAGAGAAACTTGAAATGGAGTTCAAACATAAGATAGATGCCTTGATATCAGAAATTGAAAGAACTGCACCAAATTTGAAAGCGCTAGATCAATATGAAGCTCTGAAAGAAAAGGAAAGATTAATATCTGAGGAGTTTGAAGCAGCTAGGAAAGAGGAGAAAGAGGTAGCTGACAAATTCAATTCTATTAAGCAAAAAAGGTACATTGTTAGGTTACTGAGGAGCGATATTTTTTAAAAAAATTGTATCATTATGATTGAAAGTTCTCTTTAGTTATCTACTAATTAACATTGAGAAGCATATTCTTATCTCTTTGACTTATCGTGACCCATTTCTTCAAATAAACTAGTAAAGACTGTCTCGAAAGTGTCTTAAACTGTAATATGAAATTTTTGTTTGTAAACGCACTTACGAAGGGTATTTAAAAACCATTAGGGCAAGTGTATTGAGGTTTGTAAAATGGTTTCAAATGGTCTCTAACATATTTTAACCGTTATTTGACTAACCTAAAGGTGACGTGGTAGTTAAGTAGCTGACTTTGCATTAATGATTTGGTAAAATATAATACTTTAATAATATTTTGATGTGACTAGACTTTTCATCTTCTTCTCCCCTCCTTCCTGAAAGAGGAGGTCCTCTTCGATTTGGAAGAGGTTAGAGGAGCTTCCTCTCATGGAAGTGGAAGTTCCTTTTTGGAAGAGGAACTTCACCGTTCATTCCTCCTCATGGGAAGAGGAACTTCCAGATCTGGATGACGGCAAGTTCCTCTAAATAACAGCAAGCATTCTCACACCTAGAGAGGAGTGGGACAATGGGCCACGACAGCAGAAGTGGTGACAAGCAGCGGTTCACTGGAGAGGAGAAGGAGGAGAAGTAGAGAAGAAAGAGGAGGGAGGAAGAAGAGGGAAAGAGACGAAGAGTCTAGTCACATCAAAATATTATTAAATTATTTTGTTTTGCCAAATATTAATATAAGGTTAGCCATTTAACTTCTCAATGTTAGTCAACTAATGGTCAAAATATGTTATGGACCATTTAGGGCCATTTTAACAGCTACTTTCGAATAGAGCCTCCAAAATGCAAGGAACCAAACATAAAAGCTCTACAAATGTTGATCATCAAAAACATCAGCAAAGTCATCTTTATCTTTTGGGAACAAAGCTTTGAATTTCTGAGAATGTTTGGCCTGAATATTTCTTTGAATTTCAGCAATTTCTCTATCCCGCTCAGCTCAAATCTCCATACTTCTTCTAGAGTGTGCTTCTAAACAAATAGCCCTTTCTTTGCGAATATTGACAAGGTCGGTGTTAAGGACAATGGTACCCCAAGTACCCCAAGTATCTCCACAATAGTATGATATTGTCCGCTTTGGGCATAGCCCGTACGGCTTTGCTTTTGGTTTCACCCAAAAGGCCTCATACCAATAGAGATAATTGTCCTCTCTTATATATCCATGATCGTTCCCTTCCCAAGCCATTGTGAGACTTTGTTTGCAATCACCTTACAAACCCAAGAGTCGAACCTAAGAGAGGATAAATAAGCATCCAATTGAGAAGGAGATGAGCTTGAAATGAATTTGAGGGAAGAAACAATATCTTCTTTAAAAACTCTCAGGAAAAATTGATGATGCAAAGGCAAAAGACCTCACAACAAACTCGAGGTATGCTTCTGCTTTGAGACAAACCAACTAATGGATCCCCTTTCTTTAAGTAAGAGAAGCAAAGGCATAAGAAGACCTTTCAACTTCTCAAACTAACAAGATTAATGAGAGAAAAAAAATGTGGAGATAGCTTCTTAGAAAAAGGAACCAGTAAGAAATCCACCAATAATACACTCCCTGATAGCCATAACCAAGAACCAAAAAAAAAGTTGTCAATCGGGTACAAGAGGAGACGTTTCGGATTCCAAAGAGCATTCTTCGATAATAAAAAAGAAAAGGCACCAAAAAGACACTTCGAAACTCGTGAGCGCGGCAGCACGCCAATCAATTTGCTGCCGAAAATAAATCCTAAAAGAAAATTGCTGTCAAAATTAAAGCCCCAGCCCCATGCCTCGACAAAACCGACAAAAAGTGATATTCAAGACCCTTCAACTTCAATACCCGAACTTGAGAATCAAAATTCCCTACTGATAGGGACAAGAAAAATTCTCATTTCTTCGAAAAAAGGAGGAATGATTAAATACTTCAAGATTTCTGGCTTTTTCAACTTTCTTTTGCTCATTAAAGAGAATCTGAAAATCTTCAATAGGGAGGTCTAGAGACTTTGGAAAAAAATCCAAACTACTAATGCTAACCACAACATCATCACTTTTTTTTTTATAGGAAACAAGAGAGATATGTATTAATTACAAAAAAGAACCACCGAAAGGCAAGGAGTAGAGGAAACCCCTTACAAGGAAACTATAACATTAAAGCCTTCGAATTTGAAGGATTGAGTAAGGAAAGTAATTACAAAAGAAGTTTCTAAAAGTGTTAGCACTATTAGAAGTAGTAAGTTGTACATTACTCCACAAAATAGGCAAATCAAAAGAAATATCCTCAAAAGTTCTACGATTTCTTTTAAGTCAAATATTCCACAAAACCACAGCCACAGCAAAGTTGCACAAGGTTCTTTTCCCATTTTTTAAGTAGCCACTAATTGGTCCCAGTCATCAATATTCTTGGGAATGCAGAGGTTGATGTCAAAAATTCCAAAAACTTGGGACCAACACTTGTAAGCTATAGGACAGTGAAGGAAACGGTGACCTAGAGATTCCTCTTACCTTGAGCAGAGGGAGGAAACAGAGGTGGAGAGAGACCAACTTTTAAACTTCTTCTGTAGGCATTCGTGGGTATTTATGCCTCTGTGAGCCAACGATCAAAGGAAGATTGTTATCTTCTTTGGATAACTGAACTTCCGGATGGCTGAAAGGAGGGGAGTTTGAATCACTTTGTAGGACTTTGACAATCTTACAAAAGTGGACTTCGTAGTAAATACTCCGGAAGCATCAATACTCCACTTCACACCATCTTTAGAGTCCCCCAGCACTGCATCTAACTATTTTATCAGCCCCAGCCAACTGTTGAATTCTTTGTCTGAAACCTAAATCCCAGTCTTGTTGGTCCTTGTTCCAGCATCTGTCGATGGTGTCCTCCTTTCTTGTAGAGATTAAAAAGAGATCAGAGAAAGCCTTCTCTAATGTTTGATCTCCTGTCCATTAGTCTTTCTAGAATCTTATTTGTATTCTTAGCAATATCATACGACCTTTGGCAGCACCTTTAGGGATGAGAGTCATCCAACTGTGCGGTTGGTCCCGTAAATACTTTACAATTTGGCACCATAGGGCTTGTTCCTCTATAGAGTAAAATGGCACAGCCACTTTAACAGGAGTCCATTGTTTCATTGTTTGAAAGAGTCAATGACTAGACCTCATGCATGAGAGGCAGAGAAGCCCACTCCCATTTAACTAAGTAAGGGAGGAAAAAATCTCCATCCCAAAAGAAGTCTCTAACACACTTTTCCATAACTTCGATAATCTCTTCAGGAGTTTTCAACAAGGAGTAGTAGAGGGGAAGGCTACTTAGCACCGATTGGGCCATTGTTAAGCGACCACCTTTGGAGAAGGTGGGAGGTTTTTCCATTTCGACAGTTGACATCTGAATTTTCCACCATAGGTTCCCAAAAGCCAAGGAAACCCAAATACAAGAAGGGGAAATTTTATGTTTTGCAACCAATAAGGTTTGCGATAGAAGCTAAAGAAGACTCCTTGATGTTTATCCCTACTAGAGAAGTCTGAGCCAGAACAGGGAGATGATTCCACTTATACGCTAACAATACGATCATATTTAGCTAAAATAAGAAAGAAGATTTTATGGACTGGTCACTATCTGAAAATTCAAGAAAATAATTCCCGGTCCAAACCTTGATGAGTGGAATTAATTGAACCAAAAGAGAGGATTTTAGCACTTCTAATTTGTCCTTATTTGAAAACTTACTTAGACAAATTTTTTTATTTCCATAAGACTCTTCAGCTTCTTTGTTAAAGGTTGCATTCAAATTTACTTGGATATTCTTGCCGAAATTTAACTTTTCAGAGGTAATAACTGTTTTTGGCTTGCAAAATTGTTTGGTATAATAAAATGGAAGAGGTTGAATAAGTTTTTTGGGCTTCTTATAGTCTAGGGAGAATGATTTATCTTTTGGCCTGCCTTTTAATTGCAGCTGTTGGCCAATATTTAAAGCATCAACAGAATCTAACCTGCCCTTCTTAAGCCTATCATTTCATGCTGCGTTTCCAACCTCCATAAATGTATGAGCAGCATGGATGTCTTTCTCTTCTAAGGAATTGTTTAAAAGTGAAGTCTGAGATTCTTCAACTTCCAAACGAGCAGCTTCATCTTTCAGATGTGCATCTACATCTTCAAGCACCAATTTGATACAATTGATGTCCAAAATGTTAGAAAAATCACTGAGATTGAGAGCAGCGTTTTCTTCCTTAGGAAATTTCGGTTTGCAACATTCTTTTACTCGAACAAAACACTACCCAAACAAGGGTCTCGTATTTCAATCTGAGTTGGGAGGAATCCACAAAAATTCTTCTTAACTTCTATACAAACCGAGCTACAATCCAACATATTCAACGTTTGAGAAGAACAATCAACCAATCCACCAAAATAACTGATCAACCATCATGGATGGTGCATTGGTCCAAAGGGACTAGGGTTAATTAAGAGGGAATGGGTTCAAACCCCATGATGGCCACCTACTGTTAGATATCCAATATAAATGAATTAAATTTACCCAACCTATAAGTTTAAGCTTTTGGGTTAAGTGATAGTTTATTCATCTTTAAGATAGTATCAGAGCGGGAAGTCCTGTGTTCGAACCTATATATTGTTGTTTCCTCCCCTAGGAATTAGTAATTCCTATGTGTTTTCCGGTACCAAATGTTGTAGAGTCAGGCGGTTGCCCCATGAGATTAGTTGAGGTGCGCGTAAACTAGGACACTCACGGATTTAAAAAAATAAAAATAATAAAAAAACCGCCAAGAGCTTTGGAACAACTTTGGGCCCAAAAGCTTAAAGGTAAATTCATAATGTTGATCAAACCACCATACCCTAAAACAAACTCAGGTTTGCTATGCTTTAAATCTGACCACTTCCCAAATTTAAAGTAAAAAAGACCAGTTTTCTTCCATTTACCATTTCCATCCAGACCTTTAAGAATCCTTCTATCTTCCATCTTTAAARGAGCCTTGTGAGCTATAAAAGGGTTAACTAGACAACGTACCTCAAAATTCTTCTTCAAAGCAATAGCAATATCATTCCAATTATCATGTGCTTTACGTATAGATAACCATCAAGAATTCCAGTCTGTTTCAACCACTTCCCTTTCTTTTTGACCCAGAAGCCTTGATGAACATCTTGTCTATTGAAAAAGAATTTTCATCTTCAGCTTCATCTTCTAATTTGAAAGATTTTCGAGAGTTCTTCAAGGTGGTAGAATCAACATTTTTAGGAAGAAGAAAGATGCCGTCTTTTATCATTTCCCAAAGGGACTAGCCAACTTTTTTTTAACCGATTGGGACCACAGGTCAACCTTTCAATCCTGAATTGGGGATCAAGATACATTCAAGATATAGCATCCTTGTTTATTGTAGCTTTTCTTGAGATTACAAATACCGAAATCTTCCTTTGCTTGCTTGAAGAAATGAAATCTCACAGGATTTTGCATCAAATCCATAATATCATCTTCAAACCAAATTAGTTGCTTCTTGTTGGGAGAGATATGAAAAGGGTGGACATATAACTTTTTTTCCAATATGAAATAATCATTCGGCAAAGATTGAATGAAAAATGACTTATTTCCAACACGACAACTTTTAAGTCCGTGATTTATGCAACGTAGGAATGATTACGCTCTAAAAACTGATCATTTATGATGCTGTTTTTTCCCAAAACTGAAACAACCTTGAGACTGACTTGGAAAAGCAAAAGCAACTCAAAGAAGGAGATGATCTCAGGTCACGAAGAAGAGAACCTTGAGAGGAAAGAGAAGAGAGCACCATTACCGCCTTTTCCTATTATTACTTTGATGATATCCTGAGTTAGGTGTGTGATGTGTAGGAAGGATTTTAGGTAACTAGATTCTTACAATACTATTATTTTAATGTTTTTTTAATAAAATTTTCAAAGCACTTAAACTAATGTAATTCAAATTATACATAGTTTGATTGGGTTCATCACCCAACTAAAATCTTTTGAATAGAAAATTCGAACAATTGAGTTGTTTCTAAAATATCTATCAAACCTAAGTCCAATCCAGAAAAACAACTGAATTGTTTATAGTCATGTTTATTCTAGACAGGTCAACACCAACCCATTAACTTTGGAGGGGCATTTGTGCTTCGTAGCCTTATGTGATACATTGTAATGTTGATACCTTTTAAATTTTATTTATTCTGATTTTTAAGACATCTGGAACCATTATTGTATTTGTATGTCACACTCTCCAACAAAATATAAATTATTTAGTTTCCAATGTGGTCCCATATGAACACACCTCAATGACCAGTCTTGGAGAAATCTTGACTCGTTAAGATTTATGATGCTTCGATTGCTGCATTAATTTGCAGTTTGTATTTTATTTCTGAGTTAGTCTTGACAACTGCAGGTATGAGTTGTTTATGGATGCTTTCAACCATATTTCCGGAAATATTGATAAGATTTACAAGCAATTGACAAAAAGTAACACACATCCCTTGGGTGGGACGGCATATTTGAACTTGGAAAATGAAGATGAACCATTTTTACATGGTATCAAGTATACCGCTATGCCTCCAACAAAGCGGTTTCGTGACATGGAACAATTATCTGGTGGAGAAAAGACTGTTGCAGCTCTGGCATTGCTTTTCTCCATTCATAGGTATGATGATATAGATGCTTGTTCTTACATTTGTGAATCTTCGTTGCGGATGATTTGATTGTTTAAGTTTATTACTCTAATTGATTATACATTTTCTATTAGTCCCGACTTGCCGACCTATGTCCTTGGGGTTTTTTTTTTTTTTTTTTTGTATTGGCTCCTTTTGACTTGGGTTGGTTTTTTGTATGCCGATTGTATATTCTTTTATTTGCTTTATGAAGGCATGGATTTTCATTTAAAGAAACCACTTCTATAGAATATTTTGCAGCTAGATGCCCGGATTTTTTTTCAGTGACAGCCAATAATCTGTTCAAGCGCGACAAATTGTTTTGTCAACTGATGCCTATCTACATTGTCCAATGTATTTCAGTTTTAGGCCTTCTCCATTTTTCATATTGGATGAAGTGGATGCAGCCTTAGATAACTTGAATGTTGCAAAAGTTGCGGGTTTCATTCGTTCCAAGTCATGTGAAGGTGCCAGGATGAATCAAGACACCGAGGGAGGCAGCGGTTTTCAAAGTATTGTTATATCACTGAAGGATAGCTTTTATGACAAGGCTGAAGCTTTAGTAGGCGTTTATCGGGATTGTGAAAGAAGGTAAGCCTATAAGACGTACTCATGCACAAATGTCTGCCTATCACCAGTTGTATTTCATGGCATTTCATTTTGCCTAATCTCTCAAACAATGTATTTGTATTTTACAGCTGCTCGAGAACGCTGACCTTCGACCTTACCAAATACCGGGAATCATAGAAGCACAATTCGACAGGTTGAAGATTGTAGAATGCCAACAGATGTAAACTACGTTGTAGAAGAGCTATGCATACTAACCGATGCTGGATGGATTAGTATCTTGCAATTGGAAAGTACTTTCAGAAGTGTTTCCTGTAATTTAAAATATCATTTCTCTCAAGTTTTTGTAAATATTCTCAACCTGAAGGCTAACTTCCATGCTTATTTTTAGTGTATTTAGCTTGAAGTTTACCCATAGCATGTATCTGTCTAATATTAACCCAATATTTCAACTATGGGATAATTTTTAGGTGTAGTGTTTTTACGTGATACACTTTTTCTATAGCACTTTTGGAAAAAGCACTATTAATTGCTTCCTCTGAGAAGTCTTTAGAATTTTCAAAAGTATTTTGTAATTCAACGTTTTGAAAAGGATCATTGATGAAAGAAGTATATATATACTGCAATGGAGATTTCAAAAGTCATATGGAACTTTTTAAGATATCTATAAATGTTTATATAACTTTAACACCCATCTAACTTAAATTTTTTGAATTAATGGGTGATTTAACATGGTACTAAAGCAAGAAGTCTTGTCTTTGAGCTTCTATCATTTCCTCTCCATTAAATGTTGATGTTTGCTTGTTTAACTAGGTTATATTTAACGTTGATTTTTACTTGTTTAATTAGGTAATAGATCACGGTTGTGATGGTTGAGCTTTTGTATATACAGGCATCATATCACACCCTTTGACAGCATGCATAGGTGTTGGAATTCATTAGTCAAAATAAAATTGTCTGGCAAATCAAGGTGGATTTTACTATTCAATTCAAAGCACTTTTGTTACCCGTTAGAATGCTGCATCACATAGAGGTTAGATACTATCACAATGCTTTTTGGATTGAAGGATGCCCCTAATCTTAAGCAGGTTCTAGTTTTATACTATTAGATGTGTAAGAAAAATTAAAAACCGTCTCGAAAACATGTAAGATAAACATACGAGTCATTCTCGATAAGAAGCTCAACACTTCCACCCAAATCCTCAGCTAGGTTAGAAGACTTTTATCAAGGTGATAGAAGTGAGCATGTGTTTGTTCTGGTAAGAGGACTGTTATTTGTTAATGTTAGTTTAGAAGTTCACTAAAGTCTAATGGTATGGGGAATTGCTATAGAATAGTTTTTATACTCCCTTTAGCATATAAATTAAGAATTTCTGTAAGTACAAATTTGTCTCGGAACGTTTAGAGTAGTGTTTAATAGCTAGACGTTTTTTTTTTTAAAAAAATAAATCACAAACTTATTAGACAAAAAAAATGAAAGGTTATATAATAAAATTCACTTTTTTTGTGTGTTAATTCTAAAAAATTATATAATAAATTAGAGACTTATTCAGAACACAATTGAAAGTTCGTAACTTTATTAGATACTATTTTAAATTCAAGAACTTATTAAGCATGACACTCAAGAGTTCGAGTACCATTGATATATATATATTTTTAATTTAAGGACCCTTTAAATATGACTTTGAAAACTAATGGACTAAACTTGAAATTCAAATTGTTAGTCTAACAATATTCTCTTATGGAAATTATTTGAAAAAAATATAAAAAAGGATTCAAGTTGGTGCAAGAATTAAATTCAACTCATCTTAGAAATTTATTCCTTCTCCTTTTTCTAATTAAGGGAAGTGGATAAGATAAAATATTAATTAAAAGCAGTATGATGTGGAGGATAAATCTATTCTAAGCACCTGTGTCATTATTATGTGAGATAGTCAATCTATTCAAGAATACTTTGGAATATAAGTTTCTAAAAATATCAAGACAAAAGTTAATTGGTAAAGAACATAGTGGCATTTATATAAATACCATAAAATAAATGTGTTTTTTAATGTACAAGAAAGTTCAAACCCTTTTATAAAAATATCATACTTCAAATCAAACTAAAATTTAATATAAAGCAAATTTTAAGAAGTTGCAATTACTTTATATTTGAAAAGAATATGGTTGGAGGCAGATTTTCACATGTTACCTCAGAATCGTAAAGGTACTTGAATTAAAACCCGTTTTCGATTATAATAATTTGTTAAGTCCTTTCAGGTCGGAAATTGAGGCACGAGCCGAGCTGCCCATCTACCATTGGCCTGTTTAAATGGTCGGAGCTGACCTGAAAGTGCATTCAAGGGAATGTCTCTAAAATCCAACAACATGCCACGTTTTACGGACGGTCGGACGACCGTTAGCCCTATGTCGAAATTCCTATCAGATCCAATCTCAAAAAATAGATATGTCTGCCCTTGGTATAAGGTACACGAATCCATTTACATTTATTGAATTAAATCAGATAATAGCTAATTTGCTCGTCGGAGTGCTAACTTTGTTTTACAGGTTCTTTGTACGGTTAGGAAGATCATCTCGTACGCTCCGACCTACGTGGATTCTGAGCTTGGTCTTTTTTTTGGATCAAACAAATAGAAAGTTGTAATATTTTTTAAAAATATGTATTAAATTTATAGTATGGGGGTGAAATTTCTCAATAAATATCTATAAAATAAGGATTAAAATAATTTGTAAGTTTTGGATTTAAAGATACAGAGCACTATCTTAGGAGATATAAAGCCTTTTACTACCCCTAGTATATAATATTACAAATAACATGAGTGAAGATTTTTGAATATATAACTGCACCCCATTTGGTAACTTTCTTCATCGTGTAAGATATAATCTTTCAAAAGATCTTTTGTTCAGTTAAATTATCTTATGAATTATGAGTTACTTGTATGCTAAAAAGTCTTCTATTTTTTTTTAGTCTAATAATAATAATAATAATAATAATTTTTAGACTTGATTTCTATTTGGTCCTTAAATTTCCCAGATTTAAATTTAGTTTCAATTTAATCTTCAAGTTTCAAAAGTGATAGGTTTGGTTCTTGAAATCTGAATTTAGTTTTTAACTGATCCTTAAGTTGGATTATCCGATGACGCAGTAGCTAGCATATGTTGACTAAAGTTTGCTAATATTTATTTATTTTTAACAGAACTGACATATTTTATTACTCATTTTTCTCTTTTGCCTAAGTGGTATTTTTCTCTCCTCCTCATCCCGCCTCCATTCGCTTCTCATTTCTTTCCTCCACTCTTCCAATAGCACCACGACCTTTCCTCTATGTTCATCTTCAAACATTCAATTTGACTAGATTCTAATTTGCAATGTGAATCAACAAGTTTCTCGATAGCCAACTATTCATTGACGTTCGTATTGACAACATTAGAGATCCTCATTATTTAGTCAATATATGATAAATGTCACATTATCATTACTTTAGGTCAACTAATGGTCACTAAACTCATGGACCACTTAGAAATCAAACCCAAACATCAGGAATTAACTAAATTCAAACTTTAGAGACCAAACATGTCATTCGAAACTTAAATACTAAATAAAAACTAAATTTAAATCTCAAAGACAAAAAATGATGCTTTTTTAAATTAGAGAACAAAATTCAAGTTTAAAGCTTAGTGACTAAAAATGTATTTTTATAAAAAAACGACTTAACTGTTTTTAAAATGGGATAAATCTACAACTTTGGTCAACTTTCAACATTGTGTATTGATAACTCTCTCAAAGTTATTTTAGTAAATAATTTGGTAAATTGGTGTTTCAATTGTGAGGGTCTTTGTCCAAATTAACATGTAAAGTGAGAAATTAACCGAAGAATTCATTTATAGTGTATAAAATCCTCAATATTTCAAAGTTGTGTAACTTCTAGTTGAATCTCTGTTATTTTGGAATGTTTTTTTGCAGATTTGAAAATGTTGTGTCAAAATGCTGCAAAATAATGCTGGAGGCCTGCTAAAGTTGTTATGTTGAAGCTTGCTGGTGTCTGATGCTCCAGAATCTCAAGATAGTGCAGTAACAAGTTAACGCTAAATTTTTATTAATATCCACGCATTTTATCATATTTTGCCCTAATTTTCTGAGATCTATAAAAGGAACAAGATGAGGTTGTCTCATTATCAATCCCCAATGGGGTAATAGATCTCAAGAGAGAAGAATACTCCAAATTAGGTGCAAAAAGCAAGGAAATTCTTCACCCATTTCGAGGAAGAGGCTAACAACGAGGGGCTGTCATTTTCTTCATCACTGTGTTGAAGGTTTCCTACCGCTACTGAAGCTCTTTCTCTTAATGGTTTATCTTTCTCTTCTACCCACTGATTTATTTTCTTTTTTTATGAACTAAACCCCATTTTCGGTGGGGATTTGCTTGTTGTAGCTTACGAACAGTGTTGTTGTAGTTGTTTACTTTGCTAATTTAATAGAAGTGTTTTTATTCTTTCATCTTACTGATTTTGTTTGGCCAACATTATTAGTTTGTTGGCTTGCTTGAGGCTCGGGAGAGTCCTTGTGTGTTTCATTGCTTCTATTTGCATTAGATTCCTCTCTTTGAAGTAGGATTGTGAGTATTCAGGGATGACACTCACCCTATCGTGCCTATAAATTGTTTTTATTGTTTGCTTTAATTACAACGGGAGTTGGGTTTTAAGCATGATTGGGTATCTCAGGAGAGAGTCATGTCTGTTTGGGCAATCAACACTGTAAGTTTTGCAAGAGCATTTGCTGGAAGTGAGTGAAAGCGTTCAGAGTGAATCTCACCTGATTCCTCTCTTATTATTAATTGTTTCTCTTTTTTCGTATGCCTCAGCATTTGTAAATTATAGTACTTTCTTTCTTTGAATTTCTTTTCATTTCACTTAGTTTAGTTATACCAATACTTATTATCTTTTATTTGCATTTTTTGTATTCTTAAACGCATGCTTAGAATAATATCCTTAGTTGCTGTGGACACGACCTTTTTTATACTACAATCCACGAGAATAGTGTAAGCTTACACTTGTTTTCACGTCAGTCGTGGGCACACAACATGTATGAGGATCTGAACTCTGGAAATTGTATAATATGTGCTAAACTTTTGGAGTTGTGTTGAATGGACCATCGAGTTTTAATTTTATCTAATAAATTTATGAATTTTAGATAGATCAAATATTTATTGACCACAAAATTAAAAGTTTGGAAATATATTAGACATAATACTAAACGGTAGCTAAATCTCTGATTAACCTTTATAGTATAAAAAATGCTCAAATTTCATCAAAAGTATTTGTTTGCCTATAATATTAAAAAAATTAGTAAATTAATTAATTATGAAAAATGTTTTGTAAAGCCATTTGTCATTATATCCCTTGCTTTAGAGTCGGCATCACTTGCCATAATTAATCATTTGTTTTTAAATCCATCTTTTAAATATTTGCGTACTGAAAGCGGTTTATTTTTATATTAATTTTTTACTAAATCAAAGAAAAATACCCCAAAGTTTTTCTGTTTGACTTCAAAAAAATACCTCAACCCTTTCAAAAATTAAAATACTGTTTTTGACTTTTCATAAATGTATACTTTGAAGTAAAATGTTCGTTACTATTTTAAATGGAAAATTGACGGACAAAATATGAAATAAGGTGATTAATGTAGAAGCTGGAAAGAAATATGGAAAAATTATTATTTTCAAAATCTTCAACTGTCGTTCTCTTTACAATTTTCATCTTCAACTTCTTTAAAATTTTTAAAAACGATAATTTTTTTCACATTTTTTCTCTTTTCAGATTTGTGGTTCCAAGTTGTGCCACATCAACTTTCGGTTTAAAATATTAATTTATGTCTTGTTCAAATGGTATTTTTTGAAATATTTATGAAAGTTAAAGGGTAGGATTCAAACTTTTAAAAAGATAAAATACTTTTTAAACAAATGGTAAAATTCAAGAATATATATATAAATAAATATATATATATAATGCTAGAAGGATTTTGATGGAGGTGAATTCTCAACCTACATGTGGCAGCCAAGCCAGGTTGGGGACCCTGCCGGGTTTTGTGCCTATAAATAAGTTCATTCCGCTTCACTTCGAGGTACGCAATCCAATCAATTCTCTCTAGAATTGACTTGAGCATTTGCTGACTTTAGCTTCGGAGTCCCTTACTCTGTTTTGCAGGTCTTTCGTGCAACATCTGAAGTCCATCACCTAGCTCATCCTCGACGAGTTGAAGCTTGGAGACTTGGTCAGATTTCTGGTCAAATAGATTTGATAATATTATTAGATTGGCTCAAGGGATTTGCAAATGAGAAAAAAATTCTCCAAATCTCATGACTAAATGTATAGCAATTAAATCAAGTTAAAATTTTAAACTAAAGTGAGCATAGCTCATCGGTAATTGACATATACCTCCATTGTGAATTCGAATCTCTTCYCCATACTCAAAAAAAAAAAAAGGACCAAAAACCAGTATATATTCATAAAATATGGACAAGTGAATGGGACAAAATATGGCCAAGTGAATGGGTGATAGATCTCATATAATTCATAATCGAATYTGTTTGGTCATCTGAAAATAGAAATTTGAAAATAACTCAGGGCCCATCTGATAATCATTTCTGTTTTTGGTTTTTATTGTTTTTAGTTTTTGGTTTTTGGTTTTCTGTTTTTAAAAAACAAAAACCATATATATTTGATAATCATTTTTTGTTTTTTATTTTTAAAAAACAGAAATCCAAACATGTTTGGTATTTTTAAAAGTTAGAAAATTGAAAATATATATTAGAGAGAAAATTCTATATAAGGTAGAGATGACAATGGTGTGGGTGCGAGTGAGGATGCTCCCCCATTCTCGTGCATGTGAAAAGTTTTAATCTCCACCTCCACCTCGTTATTCGGTTCAAGAGATGTTCTCGAGAAAAATTATCGGTTTTATAATTGTTTTTAATTATTTTTAGAGTTTAAGTATAAAAAAAGYGTAATAAATATATATTAATTATTTAAAAAATGGAATCGAGAACATGATCATGCATTTCCTATTTTTGGGCTCGACCCTGCGGAAATTTTTGTCATCCCAAATGTAGAGACATGAAAATACAAAAAATGTAAATAAACTTTTGGAAGATAAATTTTAGAGAGATAAATAAAAAGATTTAGAAAAAAAAAATTAGTGAAAGAAATGTTAAAAACAAAAAGAGAAAAATTTTAGAAAAAAAAAAGTAAAGTCCGGAGGAAAAGATATATTAAACACAAAAATTAGAAAGAAAGAGAAAATTATAATTGAAACAAATTTAGAGATAAAAGCAAGATTCAAAATATAATTTTTAGAGAAAATAAATAAATACAAAGATAAATAAAAGCTACGGTGAAAGAAAATTGAACAAAAAAGATATAATTTTCAGAGAAAAAAATAGATTAAGTTATAAAAGATGAAATTTAAGAAAGAAAAAAGTTAGGAAAAATATTAAATTTTTAGAGGGAGAAATGAAACTGATCCACTRKAAAAAAATAAAAATAGAGAAAAAATTAGAGAGAGTGAGACAAATAATAATAAATATTCAATATATGAAAATTTTAGAGAGATAAAAATAAATTTTGTAGAGAGAAATTTAAAAAAAAATTTAGAGAATTTTTTTTTTTTAAAGATAAATATGAGAAAGAAAAGAAAATTGAATATAAATCAGATTTTGAAAAACAGAAATCTGTTTTCGAAAACTACCTTTTTTWTTTAATTTAAATAGAATTTCAAAATAGTTTCTAAAAACAAAAAAGAGAAAATTTAATTGGTTATCAAACAACACTATTTCTAGAAAACTAAAAACAAAAAACAAAGTACAAAAAACGAAATGGTTATCAAACAGACCTTAATACAATGAAAAATACAATTATATTTTTTGTGTTCAGTATTTTCCGATATATGTTTGGTGCATATATTAAAATTGAATCTCAACTTAAAGAATTGTTCGATGTATGTTTAGTAATATATTTGTAAGTCAAAACGATCATAGTTCAGTGTAATTTAYATGTATAGGTTGTGACTTCGATCCCTTATTCTCACATGAGTACTAAAAAAATAATATATTTATAAATTAGTRATAGTTACCAACTAAATATTTRGTTCAACCTACAAATAAAAAACAAAAATCTAGATTGTATACCGAAAATACCCTTAATTATTTCTGGATTCGTATGTCTCATCTCATCAAAGAATTTTAAAATCTATGTGAAAATGTTAGAAGAGAAAGATACGTGAATTAGAAATACATTTTAAATTCCGTSGTTTTAAATATGAGAAATAATTTTAAATTCTTTATCTTGTTTTAAATGTATTAAATTAAATTTCTTTGTTTAAAGGTTGGTTGAAAAGGAAAATAAAATAAATTTTTACTGATTTAAGCTTTTAACCTAAATTTATTAGAAATTAAAATATGACAAGGYTAAATAGGAAATAATTAGAAATTAAAATACGACAAGGTTAAATAGGAAACTTACTTTGAAATTATATAAAMTTTTGACAAATCCAACCGTTTTGATCTGTAAATTTTTTTACATAACAAYTGGATTTCACGGTATCAAACAACCAAATTGAAATCCATCCTGGTTTTGAAATTTTCGAAATCTAAAGTACCAAATAGAGCATAAATTTCTATCAACATTTATATAGGTCCATGGATTTAAAATCAACCAGATATGTAAATCAACATTTCTATAGTATAGCGTAAAAATTGACAAAATTCAAAAAACATCAACAAAATGTACATAATATTAATATTAATAAAAAGACTAAAATGATTATTTATTATWTTAAATATTRTTATTTAGTTATTTAGTTTTTAATTTTTTTTTCAAAAATGTCTAACGATGTCAACCGTTTATTATGTTTTTACAAATTGAGACCTAGATATTTAATCAACATCTAGATTTAAAACTTTACCTATGACATAAACTTTATAAATGTCAAAGTGAAGATGTAACTACGATGTTCCAATAATCTACGAGAGAAGAGATTGTAGGTTTGATTAACTTACCTTGCATATACACATTACCCACTAGCGACTTATATTTTCCAAACCATTAATAGATTTTAAAAGTCGAACAATACATCAAAATTTCGATGTGTCAAGCTACYGGACTTGTCGGGAGGTGAATTTCATTTTTCCCTCCCGTCGACCCTGAATCATGTTTTTTAAATATATATATATATATACACTTTTTATTTATATTGATTCCTCGTTGATTTAATATTTACATTTTACATTTAATCTTCATACTTTCATTTCTAGGTCTATTTCTAAATCACTCCTCAATTTTTYTCCTTCCAAYCAAACTTACAAGCTCCCAAAACTATATTTTTAATTTCATTTTTAAATTCTTAATTATTTTTTACCAACTATAAATATCTTTTTACTTCACTTATTCTTTCACATTAAGAACTCAATCCCAAATTTCCACTAAAATTCATATGTTCATCGTATCAGTCATATTCGACACATTTGAACATTCAATCTATATTGATCTAGGAGCACTATCGTAATTTGTATCAAAATTATGAAATATGAACTAAATCCTCTAATGTCGTCTTTTTAGAATTAAATTACTTTTTCTACCCATGTATATTATTTATATAGTAAAATTTTATATTTCACTTTTCTACCATTATTTCATCTTATACAACGATATTTCATATATTGATAAATTATGTAACTAAATACTAGAGTTGATAGGTAATGATGATTAGAAATTATTAATAAAACATAATTAAACTACATTGAAAATTCATCAATTTTCATGATTTTGGTCCAACATTTCCATCCACATCAATAAACATATTACTTTAGATGTAATAATAAAAAATGATAAATTAATACTTAATTAAGCAACCATTAAAATTTACACCAAAGTTTCATGATTTTTTTCGAAAGTTCCATTGACATCAAAATTTCAAACTTGGGTCGGAGTTTCAAGAAACTAAAACATGATATTAAAAATAAAAAATTCCACTATATAATTGAAGAAAAAATAATATCACCAAGTAATATGTCATAGATTTTTGGCTTTTAGCAACTTGACTTCTTCTCTGTGGCTTGGTTTGTGCCGGCCATCTTCCTGAGTTGAGAGAGCACAAAATAAAATAAAAAACTCAAATATTCTCACAACACCAAGCTCTTATGTCCGCCATTAAAAATGGCTCCCCCTCTTCTTCCTTCTCCCCATCACTGCTCGATTTCTCCGATGAAACTCGGTCGACCCGACATCGTTAATGGCTATCTTCTTCAATCACTCCATCCCCATGAACCTTGGGACTTTGGACTCCCTTCTTCTTCCACCTCCCTCACCCCCATATTCCATAACCACACCTTCAACTTACACTGCAACGAGTTCCCATACTCGGTCGACCATGTCAACGACTTACTGGAGTCCAGCGCCGAGGAGACTGCCAATGGCGAAGAGCTTCGAGTTCATGCAGACCATGGAAGAAGTAAAGATGTTGAGGATCATGGTTTAACTTTGATCAGCCTCCTCTTCGAGTGTGCCGTTGCCATCTCCGTTGATAACCTCGTCGAGGCGCAACGAATGCTTCTTGAGCTCACTCAAATGGCGTCGCCATACGCGGTATCGAGTGYGGAGCGTTTGGTTACATACTTTGCGGCTGCCATGTCTAGCAGAGTCATGAACTCCATATTGGGTATTTGCTCTCCTTTACTTAACTACAAAAGCATAAACAACTCCTTCCAACTTCTCAACAATGTTTCACCATTCATAAAGTTTGCTCATTTGGTTTGCAACCAATCTATACTTGAATCTCTCTCCCTCCATGACGATCGGGTTCACATTATCGACCTCGACATCATGCAAGGCTTGCAATGGCCACCGCTTCTGCAAGCTCTCGCCATGAAAATAGACGATAACCGCCCTCGCCATGTGAGGATCACCGCCATGGGCACGACCCTGGAGCTTCTGGTGGACACRGGGAAGCGACTCTCTGACATTGCTCGACTGCTTGAGTTATCTTTCGAGTATAACCCCATTGTTGCAAAGGTTGGAAAAGTTGAGGCATCGATGGTGAAACTCCGGCGAGGGGAGACTCGAGTTGTGAATTGGGTTCGACACCGTCTTTACGATGCTACCGAACCAGATTGGAAAACTATGGGACTCATTCAACAATGGGGGCCTAAAGTTTTCACACTAGTGGAGCAAGACGTGTGCTATGGAGGTGTGTTTTTGGACCGTTTTGTTAGCTCCCTACACTACTATTCCGCCATTTTCGACTCGCTTGGAGCTTTCTCGAGTAGTGATGACTGTGACAGAAATCRAGTAGAGCACAACATTTTATATAGGGAGATCAGCAACATATTGGCAATTGGAGAGGATGAGAAGTTTAGAGAATGGAGAAGTGAATTGAGAAAGTGCTTAATGGAAGTTCCTATGAGTGCCAACTCCATGGCTCAAGCTTGGTTGATGTTGAACATGTTTTCTAATAACCAAGGGTTTAGTGTTGCACAAGGACAAGGTGGGACGCTCGAGCTTAGATGGAAAAATACTAGTCTCTATACCGCTTCTGCATGGACTACTTGTTCCAGCGAGACAACTACTTAAGTTATCCCAAATTAAAATTACAAATTTAGTCCCCAGACTCTGAATGTCATGCATTTTCATTTTATTTTAATGTTGATGTAGCATGTCATTAATCTGTCGAGTTGTTTTAATGTTGATGTAGCATGTCATTAATCTGTCGAGTTGTCTATCACAATATGCCAATCAAACCTAAGTTTATCTAATGAACATATCACCCTAGCATTTCGTTAATGGATATTAACGTTAGGAACTAAATAAAGGCTTTAGTTTTGCACGAGGAGAAGGTGGGACACTCGACCTTAAGTGGAAAAATACTAATCTCTATACTACTGCATGGACTACACGTTCATCGGGTAGTTGCTTAAGTTATTCCTACTTAAAATTACAAATTCATTCCCTAAGAACATCATGCATTTTCCTTTCATTTTAATGTTGATGTAGCAGGTCAATTAATATGTCGAGTTGTCTATCACAAATATGCTAATCAAACCAAAATTTATCTAATGAAGATGTCACGCCATTATTCCGTTAGTGATGCTAAATTTTAAATTAAACAGACATAATACTCAAACTCAAAGTTCAACAAAATTTGGAGTTTAACCACCTAATACATATATATGTACATGAGGTAATTCATACAATACCTACACCCATTTTCCAGTTTCCCTTTCCTTCAATTTGGTTTATGATTTCAATAAATTGAAGGCTTAAAGCAAATGGTTTAATAAGACTTCTTTTATCTCAAGAAGGGAATAAATGTTCATGCTCAACTGTGAAGCYGAGAGAGAGAGATTTCATGTACAGTAGATCATCCCAGTCGAAATCATGTATATCTCAATTGAAAATCAATGTATTTAGCATAATACTCAAGGATTCCGAAGAGCAGCCAATCGCTTTTCCAGCTCGTCGATACCCGAACTGTAAAGTATTAGTAACAAAAAAGTTTATTACTTAATAAGAACAACTTAATGATCATGAATAATACCATATATATCGTCCTAATTACACTTATCTTTATTTAGCTTGTAAAACATATATGTAAAATTGCATAATTATACCAGCTGTTGAAGAAATAGTACCATCTCTTCCATTGTAATTATTTAGATAATTACAAATGCAGTACCTCTATTTTAAGTCAATTCGGTCCCTAGATTTTTAAAAGTTTTGCAATTGTCTCTATCTTTAAGCCTACYAGACGTCTACATTACTTGAGTAACAAAAAAAAATTGTTAAGAATGAATAAACAACCACTCAACCTAAAAGTTTAAATTGATGGGTTTGGTAAATTTAATTCATTTATATGAATTCTCAACAATCTCCCTCACTTGTGGGCTTGGATAATTGACAAGGTCCCAACAAGTGGAAATCATAATAAATGGGGAGAAAACGACAATGCAGGGGTTCAAACACAGGACCTCCCGCTCTTATATCATATTAATATTTATGGGGTTTCATCTCAAAACTAATTGGCAATGAGAGTAGTCCATGCCTATTATAAACCTACCTAAGGTCCCTTCTTTTATTAATTTGGGATCCTTAACGTACCCCTGAAGATTGTGGCTCTTTTGACTCATCGATCTTGGTCAGATCCCATTTCTGGATGCTTGTTTGAGCTTTTGAGCTCTGATACCATGTTAAGGATGAATAAACTACCACTCAACTCAAAAGCTTAAGCTGACGGGTTGGATAAATTTAATTCATTTATATGGATTCTCAACATTTCCCCTTCCCCTCACTTGTGGGCTTGGATAATTGACAAGGCYCCAATAAGTGGAAATCATAATAAATGGGAAGAAAACGACAACGCAAAGGTTCAAACACAGGACCTCCCACTCTAATAYCATATTAATATTCATGAGGTTCCATATCAAAACCAATTGRCAATAAAAGGAATAGCCCATGAACCAATATAGCAAGTAGGTCCATGCCAGTTTATTTTTGCCTATTCGAAACAATTTTTTGAAGAGTTTGGTTTTAGCCTTGCTCATCTTAGTGATGGTAGTGTGCCAGTGGAGGAGTTGCTCACTCTTTCTCCCTCTCATGAGAAAGGGTGTTTTATGTGGCTATCCAACATTAGTGCTATTTTATAGGGTTTGTGGACCGAGAGAAACAATGATCTTTAGAGGGGTGGCGAGATCTTGGGAGGAGGTTTGATCCCTTATTAGATTYCATGTTCTCTTTGAGCCTTGATGGATAAGAACTTTTGTAATTATCAGTTAAGTCTTATTTTGTTATATTGGAGTCCTTTTTTGATTTATTTTGGCTCCTTATGCTCGGGTTGTATTTTTTGTATGTCCCTTTGTATGCTTTCATTTTTATCTAGAAAGGCGGGTACCTTTAAAAAAAATGTGTAGGGACGGGCATGACATTTCATTTTAATGACCTAGGGGTCTCACTAGTCAGATCAGTTAAAAAACATAGACTTAGGTTGGATTTTAAAATATTATTTTGAATAAAAAGTAAATAAAAAAAAATCAAAGCCCAATTTTATTTTGAGGATGAATGTTCATGGGAAATACATACCTACTGACACCCTCAGTATTCTTTGAGGCAATTCTTCCTTTTGGAGCTGTTGAAAGCTGCAACCAAATCCACATGATCCCAATCAGTTTCAATAATGAGCAATCCAGTTGACAACAACACTTCAAAAAGATATTAAACCAATGTTAACATACCTGTGAGGCAATATCAACGCCGATTTCGTCGAGTACCTGCCAAAAGTTTTTTTTGCATTAGTTCTTAACTTAGCAATTGTAAGTCATAACAAATCTACATCTTGATATCTAAATGAATATTAGAGTCCTAACATTTAGCATAGCTAGAACTCAATGGCACAGTAAACACAACCTATAGAACAAATCTTATTCAAGTAAAGTCGTAACATTTAGCACAGCTAGCATCGCGGATTCCATGGAGAAAGGTAACATCACCCACCATCTAACTATATTTTCATGTACACGGAATAAAATATCTGCTGACATGCACAGATATTTCCACCAATATTTTCAGAAAATTGGAACTTTAACATTTCCATCAACATTGGCCTCTTAAGCACTTGGGATTTTAAATTCAACGTACAATCACAAAGCGAAAAGTAAAGTCCAGAGTTACATATTATGTATTGCAACTACAGGAGCTTACCTGATTCGTTAGATCTTCAGTTTCTTCTTCTGCCTCATCATCATCCAGGGCATCATCTATGGCATCTGAAATCATCTCAGTCTGCGGATGCGAGACCAAAAGGATCCATAAATATGAGACCACAAAGGCAGAAATGCAAATTTTTCCACATAAAAGACTACGATTACAAAGTAAAACTTCTATTGACTTGTCTATATTTCTATTAATATTTCTGTAAATTTAAAAGTTTCTACATCTGATATAGAGGGGACAATATCTTTTATTTGCAGTGTCAACAAAATGACAATAACTAACAGAAATGAAATAAGAACAAATTGTCAGCAACTGAATATAAATACATAAGAATAATCATTAACTTATTTAAGAAGGGTTAATTTTTATTTCTTAATCCAATAAGATGTGATTTCTGTGAACTTTTTCTAGAATATCTGACATTCTCACGTTTCTATAAACTTGAGAGCTTGAYACTTCCACTAATGTCAACATATAACTTCTCTACGTGTAATAATTCGAATTCAGAAGTCAGGGATAATGATAGGAAAGAAAATAACAGACTTGTCATAACAGTTCAGAAATTTGATAACATTGATTCTAGTTGCATTAGGAGTGCAACATGGTTTATTATGCTATGAGTCAAAACTTATCCCCTCGCACACGACCGAGATTGAGATTGCCAAGCTAGTATTTTATCATTGCTTTCATTAATATCCTCAGAATTCTGATGTGACTAGCTCTACTATCGTGCTACACTTGTTTCGACCAAAAGGAGTATATCAACAGGGAAGATAAGAAGTCATAGGTTACTGTGCTACGTAGAAACACAATAAACAAAGCTAGAAATATTCAAGATCTTTCCTTCCTATATATATTGAAAAACATATTTAAATAAATTCAGGATCTTACAGTCATATCCATCTGTGCAGACTGCATCTGAAATTCCCTAATGACCTTTGCTTGCTTCACAGGATTCATTTGCTGCAGATGAGTACGGTAAAAAGTTTTAAGAGACCAGAAATCAACAGTTAAAATTTTAAAGTGACGGAACATGGGTATATAATATCAGACACATGATTGAGAGTATAAAATAATTGAAACAAAAAAATGAAAAACCCTTCACGAGTAAGTTTCACTTGGGTGGCTCACGCTCACCAGTTGACATTCCCTCCTTAGAACTGAACTGTCAATAGAGAGATGGATGAACGATAAACAGATTTTGGAGATTAGCAATCACCGCCTTAATACCACTTTGAGGTTACTCAAAGAAGACATCTTTCATATGTTCATTTCCTCAAGTTGGCCATGGCCTATCATGTGTAAAKAAACATAGAAGGCCAAAGCCACAATTTTTTTACAGCCATTTTGCCCATAATCTGTGAAGCGAACTGCACTGAGTTTGATATCTCTTGGTTTTCCAGAATCACATTCGTACTACTGGACTAGTTCCATTTGCGGCGGGCCATCCACTAAGAAAGGCTAAATTTTTGTAGGAAAGGCTGGACAAAGCTATAATTTCGGAGGTGTTGGTTGAGAGAAATCTTAAGATTCTTCAGGATAAGCTTATAAGTTACAAGAGGGTAAGATGTAGGATTCCTTAAAAATTCGAGGTTTCCTTTTTGAGTTCACACTTCAAAATTCTTCGCATTTATGATTCTTGTTTGATAAAATGCAAACAAAGAATTTGTCTTAAATCATAATTTCCCAGGGCTTTGCTTCGAGTTGAAGTCATATCTCCATTTCCTTCTGTAATCCTCGTTTCTTGTGTGTTTGCGTGTTAATAAGAGTTAAAATTTTGTATCCACAAAAAAAAAATGAAAAAACAAACAATAACAAAATTATTTGAGCACATGTAAGATTTGATTGATATCAAATTTACTCTCTAACCTTATTCATAGCTGTCATTGCTTTACTGGCACTTTTCATGCCAGCAGCAACGGAAGTCTGAGCATGCATTGCCTGCAAAAAGTGGGTAGGGCCATTAATAATATATTATGTACAAACACTAGAGAGAATGTCTAAAGAAGAACTCATTGTCCGCACTAATGAAAGGAAAACCATACATCTGCTTGCACACATAGCTCAAACAGAGTAATGAACGAGTGGGATTAAACACTTGACTTCACCTGTGTATGAGTTGCTATGCCTCTCATTTGAGCTCGACTTCCTTGTAAGTTTGCAATTTGCTGTCTGAGCCTAACTAGCTGCCGAGCAAGAATCTTTGTTGCTGCCTGAAGAATTGAAAAAAAAAAATGATGATAAGATTAAAATTTCAAAATAGAAAATTTCAAAAAGAATCAAGCATCCGTATTAGTCTGATACAATCTTATCCAGAATATGAAATGTACCTCATTTCCTGTTTTGGCAGTTCTCTTTATTTCTGCGACAAGCTTCTTTTCCTGATAAGATAATAAGTCAAATCACAGTTAAAACATAGGATATTTAGAGATAAACCATTTTTAGAAGGTCTTCACGTACTTCTAATTGCAATGCTCCAATTTCCTTCTCTATACCTGAGAAAAGAGAAATGAGAAAAAGACGCAAAAAGATGTGACCACTTAGTGATATCACAAAGAATGATTATATTATTATAATAGAAAAGAAAATGAAAACATCCAATAAAGCTAAAATTTTTGGGTAAAAACAAATTGTAAAAGGAAGAGAGAAAGAATAGCAATAAAAAAGAGTTTATGTTTCTTCGTTCTTCCTGAAGATTTCAGAGAACATTTCTCTATTTTTTGGATCTGGATGGTAAGCGCATTAATTTTTGGAAAGATGTGATGAAGAATCACYCCATTGTATCTCGTTTTCAAGGTTAAACAACATTGTTAATAGCAAAGGTATATCTATTTGTGGGAGGAGGAGCATAGGTTCTGGAACTTGTTCTTTAGAAGAAAACTAAATCGGAGGGAACTAGTCGAATGCTCAAACCTCTCTTCAAATTGGTCTTTCAAATTAGTTCCGCATGAGAATACTAGAGTTCGCAACGTTGATTCTTCATGTAGATTCACTGTGYATTTCTCTTTAGCAATCTCTTTTTGGGACAATATTGAAGTTCAAAAGGTGTAAGGTGCTCTTGTGAACCTTGTGCTTTAAGGGCATGAGTACGAGGGAGAAACAAAGTTCAAACAAAGAATCCCTATAGATACTCTTCTTTCCTTTGATGCATTCTTTTAATACAAGGATGGCTGGCCATCTTTTTCTCAACAGGCATTAACTTTGAATTTCTGGTGGAGGYTGCTTGATATTTCCAGATTAAGCCTTCCGTTTACTGTTATAGCTCTTGGAATTGTGTTTGTTGTCATTCGTTAAAAACAATGAAAAATTCTTTGGCTTAGCATGGTTAGGGCACTTTATGGAAAGTTTTTTTTTTTCCCTTAAAGGAATACAATGTTTTTGAAAGGAGAAGATAAAGTCATGGAGTTGTGGCACGTTATAGTTATTGTGGCTTCTTCTTGATGTTCATTGTATAACATTACTATTTCCTTAAATTCTATCATTGCCAATTAAAGAGTGGTTTTGTAACTCCTTGGCTTTTATGGGATGGTTTCCCTTTATAATTCCAATGAAATTACAACAAAAACCAAGAAGTTATGYCCTTTATGGTTTCTTTGGAGCTTAATCATCAAGATTCAAGACGATYCATGTCAACACCCGTTAAAAGATCCATTTGAAGCTCGAAGTAAAGCCCAGGAGAAGAGGAAGCTAAGCACCATGTTGCAGCAGTGTTGTAGCATACCAACTAGCAAGCCCWTCGTATAGGCATTGGCTCCATAGTGAGAAGGCAAGTGTAGTCGATTATGTGTCGCAAGTTTTAAGATTGGTATAAATAGTAATTTTATGGGTTTCATATAATGTGAGAGAGCAATGTAGTGAGACAGCCATATAGATCATAACAACTCTTCCAATGAGGGGCTGGAGCCTAATCGAGGTGAAATAAAGAAGAGGTAGTATTTGTGATTGTAAAAGGTGATTGTGCATCTAGGATCATAACATTGCCTTGCGTGAGTGTGAACCAGATCAACCTATATAAATTTGGTACTTCTAAATGAGAAATTTAGGGTGCATTTGGTGGGTGTGAACCAGGTCAACCTATATAAATTTGGTACTTCTAAATGAGAAATTTAAGGTGCGTTTGGTGGGTGATCAGAAAACAAAAATCTRAAAATAAAGGATTCAGTGAAAAATAAAATTGTATTCTTTGTTTTCAGTATTTTCAAAAATATGTTTGATAGCAGATTTGGTAATTGAATCTTAATTTAAAAAATTGTTAAATCTGTGTTTAACAATATATTTGTAAACTAGTAGCAGTACCAACTAAATATTTATTTTAATCTAAAATAATATTAATTAATTTATTAACATTTTTGTTATGAATTTTGTATAATTTACTATTTTACAACGTTATACAATTAATAATATATTTATATTCTACGTGTTTTAATTTTAACAAAAATGAGATGAGTTTATAACATGAAATAATATATTTAACAAAGGTTTTATCTTGCTTAATGTAATTTTGTATCTTAAAATTTCAAATTCAAAATATGAAAACATTGAAAACAAAAAAAATGTGTTTTCAGAATTTTTAGTATTTGGATCACATAATTCGAAAACAGTTTTCGAAAACAAATCTATCAAATGCATATTCACGAATTTAGTGAATCTGAAAATAAACAACATAATCCAGATTGCCAACCAAACAGGCCCTTAAATTTCAGTTAAGAGTCTCAAATTTCTCAACAATTGATATGGGAGCTTTTGGTTTCAGATCTTGGGRTTTAGGTTGACAAACACAAAAAAGAATTGTCGTATAAAGGAAATCAAATGTTATGAAGCATGAAAATTGGGAGCCCAACTAAATTTCCTTGTCGATGGAAGGTGGCTACAACCACAGTTGACAAGATTGAATGTTACCAATAGGAATATGACAAAGAATGCAAGTCTATAGAGCTTTAGATGGTTCCTCATGAGAGAGAGAAAAGCCATAGAGCTATAGATGGTTCCTCGTGAGAGAGAGAAAAGCCAACAAATAGGCCAATTAGGCCTTAAGCCACCATTCCAGAAGAAAGAACAGTTGGGAATATTGGAAGGTTGTTTGATCTTAGCCTCAACTGTCTGAAAACTAAGCAGGATGGTGAAGTCGCCTAGAGGAAATATGAAAGAATAAAAATGGAAAATACAAAGGGAGGGGAGAAGCCCACGACAGCCAGAGTGAGAAAAAAATTTTAAAAACAAAAAAACCAACCAACCACAACTACAAAACATATTAGAGGAGGGCTCCATCAAATAAGGATGAGAGGGACCGAAAAAACACTTAAATCATTAGAACAATTAACTTCTTGTCTTGCATTCTACTCAACGGAAAGGTTAACTCAGCTGAAGTACCACAAAAGAAGCTGCCTAAAATGGCCTGACAGCCCTCCTTATGTGTCCTATGTGCTGCCCATAGTAAAAATCAGTGTCATATTTTTTATTCTATCTGTATGCAGCTTCCGAATATTCTCTTCAGAGTTTTCAATATTTCATGCGTGTTTGATGCAGATGTCTCCAAGAACGTCTACCAGCTTCTGTTTGGCCTAAAGATTCCTAGTAAATCCAACCTATTGTGGGTTAATGGCCTCAGAGCTCTTCTATCAGATCTATGGTTGAAAGAAACCAAAGGATATTTGAAGAAAAAAGAAGAACGGCTATGGATTGTTTCAATATGGTCAAATTCAAAGCTTGTGCTCTCTCACATGCATATTTCTGCATACGAATTTGTCCCTCTTCATGTTATCAATGAAAAATATAGTTTCCTCGTCAAAAAAAATAATAATTAAAATTAATTAAAACAGTCTGCTCCATTACTTATCTATCATTCATAGCATTGTAACATTTTGTGATAACAAAGACAGCCTTGAGAAAATCAATTTCAAGAAGGGATATTGCTGTCAAACATCACAGATTCACAGCAGTGTTCTCCTCATGAGTCCATGACAAGTCACTTGCTAGAGATAAAGAACTCAGCACATTGCTGAATGTCCTGATTAATTTGAACATCTTAAAATATTATACTGCTGCCATTTCCTTCTTAGAAGAGATGGAGAGATATTTTACCAATAAAAGACTCTTTTCCTTTTTTTATATCCATCAGTGTTCGAGTCAACTTATACGTAGCTTGATTAATCAAATGAGACAACTAATGACCAAACTGATATTTGATTGTCAAGAAACTCATAGGATTTTATCCTAGATAGTTGGCCACCATGGGGTTTCAACCCATTCCCCTAAAGTCCCTTTACTTTCACATGGCTTAATGCCACTAAGTTAACCCATTGTGGTGGAATACATACATTTGAAGATGAAATTGCTAAAGTCCCTTTACTTCCACATGGCTCAATGCCACTAAGTTAACCCATTGTGGTTCCRATACATACATTTGAAGATGAAATTGCTAGAGACGTTTTCCACAACTTATCTCCCTATGGTTAGCACAACAATTGAGACCTTCAATAGGTCACCACATCCTTTGACTTCAAGCCAGGTCTACAAAAATCCTCACAATGAGACATCATAGTACCTCAAACTCATTTTTCCAAACCTAATATGAAGCCATTCCAAAATCGGTGTGCAAGATTGCTTGGAAGGTCAAATACCCTAATAAGATTAAAAATCTTTACTTGAGTGATGCATCCTCCATAAAAAACATGGAGAAGATAGTATCACGATCACCAACTTTTGTTTTGTTCTTGTTAGAGTATTCACAGTTCTTAAACTTGCAGCTTCTAGTATGAGGACTTACACTGCTAAGCTATTCTTATCTTTTCCTAACACAGTCAAAGACCAGCTCCTCAGATAGAGAGGATTCTAAAAGGCATTATTACCTTCCTTCACTGGAAGAAAGGATGCCCAAGCCCATCCATTTAAAGACAACTAGACAATGTTAAAATTCTTTGGACTAACATTATCTTCTTACTTATTGGGAGTTATGGATGGAGAGGAGCAATCACTTTCAATGCATCTGGAGTCTTCTATCAGAAAATTTAGTAACTTGACCAATTGTAATTGGAAGCCCACTGAAATCTCCTTGGATTGGGGTGAATATATATCACCATTTCTCTATAACTTCTAATTAATACAATTAATGAAAGGTGTGGTTCTTGTTTAACAAGAATACCTCCAATTCATAAATCATATCTATGTTACCCAAACTTTTCTTCACCATTATTAAATAATTAAAATGCAATGATCTATTTAAGCTCTTTTTGTTATAGGCTCTATATTCTTATAGCCCACTTTGATTATTTTATTTTGTAATTTGAATACAATGCTTGTAATGTCAAATTCCCAGTTGCAACCTGCAATAACCTGATCACCCTTTCTGGCTTAATAAGAGATGAATACCATCAAAACAGGTAAGTTCAAAAGAGTAATGAGTTATTTAAGAAAATGACATTCTTAATACCAAAAGGTGTCAAAATAACGTAACCACACGCAATCTTAATCTTTATCATTCTATTATAAAGACTGACCATTGCAAAAAGTAATCTCAAAACACTTACCGTCTTATGCCAATTCAAAGCCATAGCACTATCGATATAGACAAATTCTTTCATGTTTGAACCGTATCCTAAATGGCTGGTGGTGGATAGGCAAATTCATTTCAGATACACCGATAGAAAAAGACCCCAAAAAACCACTTCAAGCCCAAAGCTTCTTCCCATTTTCTCTTTAAGGGAATGGGTTGGAGGTAATTGGTTCCACGTTAGTGCCATATACAACCATACATTCCATACGACTTTACTCCATTCAGTCCAAAAGAAACATCACCATGACCAAACGATTGAATTGTAAAATACAGAGATACAATGAGAAACATGAATATATCCAAATCCCCTTTGAACCCAGATGGCTTCTTTCTTAATTAAGGTGCAGTTAAGAAAAATAAAGAAGATACCTCGCGTAGAACGTGTCATTTCCCTTTTACTCTCCCGAAGAGCTTCTGAAAAAAAAAGAAGTCCAATCACATAAGAACAACACAGGAGTAGCAAAATAAACACAACCCAGTTCAATTCGCAGAAGAAAAATACAAAACAACGAAAAAACGGAACTCTCAGCAATGCAGAAAAATACGTAACAGGTTTCAGCAAGAACAAATCAGAGTGAATGAAGTCGATGAAAAAGAAGAGAAGGGGACAACCTTTGGCGGTGGGTTTCTTCGAAAAGATATTCATGGCGTCCAAAAGAATGATCCTGAGCAGAACACAGACGAATTTCTTGAGAGACAAGTCGAAGGGGAAGGGAAATTCCCCAGAAACGGGGAAGACTTCCTCCTAGAGAGGGAGAGAAGAGGACGTGGGAAGGATCAAGGATGATGATGTTAAATTGGATCGGAACATTAAAAGAAAATGTTTGTTGCTTTCCTATCCTTGAGCTAATCGATGTTTTAATTCTCAAGCACTGTCATCCCAAGGTCAACTTTTTATATTGGGGATTCGCTGATGACCAAATAAACCCAAAAAGAATTTGTTTGGGAAATTGGGATACATGGGATGGCAAAAGTACCTACGGGATTCGAGTATCCGATCCGATCGGGTCGGGGATTTCTCGGTTTGATCGGGGACGGAGTCGAATTGAGGATCCCAATCTGTTCCCCAACGGGGACGGGGCGTCCCTGTCCCGTTTAATTTTTTATTACTTTTTCTATTTTTTTATATAATAATATTAATATATATTAATTTCATAAGAACTTTTTTAATTTTTTAAAAAAACTATACTAATAATAACAAAAATTAATTAAAAAATTAAAAAAATATATTTATAACGATCYGGGAATCCCCGCCCCGTCCCTGCCTCCAAAATTATGGGGACAGGGGTAGGGATGGGGATGGCCCCCTCCCGGCCCCACCCCGCCCCGTTGTCATCCCTATATTTGACCCCTCCGATCCTTTATRAAAAAATGTTATGTGTGACCCTCCATTTTTGGGACCCTTYTTTTACTTTTTATCATGTTCGAGTAAATTTATCCAACAATCTCTCCCCAAAGACCTTTCGWTTTTTTTWAWTTKRAWYYWA